AAAAAACTAAAAATATATTCAAACCATGTAAGTTAAATCAAATAAAACTGAATTTTCTAAAAAATTACCGAAAAAAATAATTTATTACATTTAAAATTTTATGAAATAATTATAAAACTAAAAAATAAATAAACGTTTAATCAAAATTCAGATTAAAAAAATCTGTATACAATGTTGCATTTGTAAAGTAGTGTTTGGTTATGTAACTCATGTAGTACTTGATAAATTATTTTAAATAACACTCTAAAATAATTATCAAATTTAATTATAAGTAAGTCTATATCAAAATGCCTTAACAAATACACATTTGAAAAAAAAAATAATAATATAGTTTTCTACGCAATTTTTAATTTACTTGAATTTAATGTTCTTATCCTATTTGATAAAAGCATGTGGTTTTTTCATTTATTTGTTATGATTTGTAGGTCAGTGCATATTTGAGAAAGTCTTTTTTTTTTTTTTTTTTTTTTTTTTTTTAATATGGACACCTGTATTTTATTGTGAATTTTTAAAATAACAGAACAAAATTAGTTAAACATTTTAAATCAAAAAATTAAAATTTACTTCAGAAATAATTTTATTTAGGTCAAATATTTTGTGCTTCAAGCATGTACACACTATATATATATATATATATCTGTTCAGAAAAATAAAATATAAATCATTAAAAGTTAATTAAAGGATTTAAAGCATTGCTGAAGTGGTTGTTATATAGAAAATTATTTAGAATTTTATTCCATAGGTCTTATTATAAATGTTTTGAATGTTCATTTTATCATTTGAAAAAGCACTTATGTAATGACATTCACTATGGATAGCATATGTACATGTTTAGTAGCAATAATGGTTGATAAAATATAATGAAATAAAATAAAACCTTAAATAAACTCACTGTGAAGAAAAGAAACTCTAAATAATTTAAAATATCACCTAAGGTTTGTATACATTACCTACTATGTATTACTATGTTGTTTTTGTTGTTGTTTTCTTTTTCTTTTTTCTTTTTCCCAATACTTATTTCAAACCAAGAGATGTAAAAATCCTCCAAATATTTTTCTAATATAATATGCCAACAAAATTCTTATAAAATATAGAAATTATTTACATTTTATTATTTTTTTATCAATTCTTTTATCTCAATAACATCCACTATTTTTCTAGTAGAGAAGACATTATATTTGAGTTTAATTTTAAAGAGTGCATTCAATCAAATTCATAAACAGCATGCATTTTTTTATATTAACACGCTACCTACTTTATGCTTAAGCATTTGCTAAATGCAAGATATAGTTATATTTGAATTACTTAAAAAGGATTCAAATATTAATAAAAATATATGATCTTACACATTAATTTTTGAAATTTAAAATGTGATAATAAGGCCAAATGATATATACAGAAATAATCATTTTAAAATAATTTTGATATTTGTAATTGTTTTGTATTCATATGTGCATTTACTATTCTTAAGTGTGTTTCATAAATAAAATACAATAATAATAACTATAAGTTAAAAAATCACAATATCAAAACTTGAAAGAAAAAATAAAGAAAAAGAGAAAGAAAATTCAATCATCTAATGCTTTTATGGTTTTTAGAATTAATAATAGCAAATATGTTGCTTACTCAACTCATAATATGTATATATAAATGTATATATATATATATATATATATATATATACATATACATATATATAATGTGTAATTATCATATGTGATCCTTGCTCAAATTGTGTTGATTTTTAGTTTTTAGTTTTTCATGAGATTAATGTTTGGCAATTGTGCATACAATATATAAATATAATCATAAATGTAATGTTTTATGAAATTATGGAACAAAGATCTTAAATCAAATTATAAAATTATTATTGGGCAATTGTGGATGAATAAAAAATAGTATATAATTAATAAAATAATCAAATTTATATTATGATATATATATATATATATATATATATATATATATATATATATATATATATATGTGTGTGTGTGTGTGTGTGTGTGTAATAGAAATAAATTAAAAACTTAATTTTAACGTTGGTACTAATTATAATATAATTTGGTAAAATAAATCAATTAAAAATTAGCATTATTATTCTTTTCTTCTATTGTGTATTTCAAAAGTACAAACTTCACAAAAAAAACATCCAATTAATGAATAATTCAATACTTTCAATCTAGTACATTATACCAACAAGTTATTTAAAACATTTTAATAGAATTCATGTCAATAGGAAGTAATTAATTTTTATTTATATATATATATATATATATATAGTTTCTAAATCAATTTGATAAATATTCTAATTGAACTTGTGAAATAAATTTTAATATTGAGCATACTTTTCTTTTAAGTCATTCAATAAGACATAAAATGAACTTGAATTATATTTTTGTTAATTAAAAAAGACATTTTTTAAAAATTTAAATTTAGAAGGAAGAATACTATAATTATAGTATTTTTACTATCTATTTATTATTAATAATAATATTTTTTAATTTTTTAATTTAAATATTCCTAACTTTTAATACTTTAATGTTGGTATGTGTATATATATACATAGAGAGAGAAGATTATATGATGTCTTTATTATATAAAAACTTTGTATTTTAGTTGCATTATATGATTTTAAGATCTTTAGATAACAAACCTTACATTTGTTATTTAAAACTACAATATATGTATGTACTTTTTTATTACTTACAACATTATAACAAAAATCTATGAATTTTCATTAAAAAAATATTATGCTATATATATATATATATATATATATATATATAAAACTTCACTAATAATAACTTATTTAATATTATTTCTTTTAAAAAAATCTTCTAGAAGAATAAAAAATAATTTTTTATTTTAGAATAGAATTTTATTTTAATACGAAATTGTGTCTAGTAATAACTAAATGAATATTGAGTGCTACAAGTGCTTAAATCTAAAACCTCAGCTTGCCCTAAAATCTATAAGTAGGACAAAATTCAACCACATGACTAATTTTTTGAAAATATTTTTTTGAAAAAACTCTTGAAAATGATTTCTTGGTGGTTTATTATATTTTTTATTTTTAAAAAAAATTTAATAAATTATTATTGTATAATTATATGAATTTCTTTAAAAATTAAAATAATGTAGTTTTTGCACAATTTAATAGATTTTATCTTGGTGGTCTACTTTCTTGTGTTAGCATGCAATTTACAAGAACATTGTAGTGGTTGAAAATAAGTCATCAAATATCTTAAAATAAGTATAATATAAAAGATATTAAATTATACAATATCCAGAAATCAATTTGTCCACATATTATATTTAATATATAATCTTTGACAAAAAAAACATTAGAATTGATCTTAATTGAATATAAAAACTTATATTTTTCTTATAAAAATTTGGTAACAATTTATAAATATAAATTACTGATATGATGCTAACTTTGGATATGTTTGACCTGTCTAAAAGTGATGAAGCATCATTATTTATAAATATTTGGTGAAAATTGTAATAGGGATTGCCAAAATGATTTAAATAAAATATTTTGACTTTTTCTAAGAATTTCACTATTTTCAACCTATTATGAAGGAAACTCTCTGCTTGAAATTAATAGAAACTTGGATCTTTTTATGGTTGTTGCATGTGCAGTGATTTTTGCTTGCCACACGTTTACTAAAAGATGAAAAATATTACAGAAGTGCTCATGCAATTTAGCAAATATGGGCAAAAGCATTTTATGGGCAACACTTGCTAATCAAAATTCATTCAAAAAATCTAGTTAAAAAAGCTTGCTCCCACATTTATATTCATACACGATTTCACAATTAAGTCAAAATGTGATGTTAATTTTCATTTCAAAACTTTCACTCCATGCAAGATAGGCATATTTAATTTAATTTGTATGTTTGTATATATACATATATATACACACTAGTGGAAACATGTGCCACCATGCACAGAAAAGGCATAAAATGACTTGATGTGCAAATAGTAAATTGGAGGGCTTTCAATAGGTCATGCGATGTTATCTGCTAGTAACAATTGCCTATGCTTTTTGGCCAATGCAAAGAATTCTTTATGTCTTTATCTTATATCTAAGCTTCCTTATTATATATATGTATATATATATATATATATATATATATACATACACATGTATATTAAAATAAAATTCTTTTCATTTCTTTACTTTTGAAATATTTTAATTAAAAAACTCTATGAAATCCGCACAATAACCCAAGCTCTAAGACCCCTGGTGTTTGGGTTCTTGCTATGAAACGGATGAACAGATAAAAAAAATAAGATGGATAATAGTCACTACACGAATGTACTACCAGATGAATGTACCACACGACGAATGTACTCCAAGATGAACGTGCATCTGGATGAATGTTCTGCCATAAACATAATCCTTCCATATTAATTCATCCAAATATATTCATCCATTCAGTAGCCGCGAGGAACTGCAGAGCGGCGAGGCTTACGACGAAGACTGAAGGCCAGGGGCGAAAGCGCGGAGGAGCTTGAAGAAGGAAAGGAAGCTGACCGGGAGAAGGGAGAAGAATGCCTCGAGATGCACCGCAGATTCCTTCTATCCACCACCAATCTATCATAGATTTCTTCTCCAAGTCAATTCCCACCCCCCACGGCGATCCAGGCATCCAAGCCATTCAGTACTCTCCACTACTGCACTTTCTTACACCATCTTCCTCTTCTTCTGATTCTTCGGGTTCGTTTTGTTGCGGCAGATTCGCTGTAGTAGGAACATATTCAATCGGAAGTCAATGGGCGCACATGACGCCAACTCCTCCAGCTCTTTTGAATCCGTGACCACTGACAGTACACCGATTTCAACCACGAAGTAGTCGCAAATGGAGAGGTCGTAAGAGCAGTGGGGGGCGGAGGCTCCACTGGTTGACACACGGCGGTGGATTGGTTTACCAGGTGCAATCTGATATCATGAAATCGGAATTTCCTAGAGGAAATAAAGAAAAAATTAGACTGGAAGGAGAGTAGGGGGGAGGTTTGGGAGAGCGTCGCTGATCATTGCCCTTGCGTCCTACTATCATCGTCGGTGACCACCACAATCATCGCCACAACTGGGCTGACCTCCCTGACGAGGCTGACCCGACGCTCGCTCGCCTCGGATTGCCATCGTGCTTTGACACAACCTCTGAAAGGGATTACTACAAATCTCTCACGTCTTGCTCTGCACATCGTCGTGTAGTCTCGCATCGTTCCAGCTGCCACTTGCGTGCCTCCAAGCTCCCCCCCCACCAGTCGCATTGGCAAGCGCTTCCTCCGCATTGTGGGTTTGAATCACCCCATCTGCAGCTAGAGCTTCGAGCGTGTGTGCCTGCGTACGTGTGTGTTAGTATCCCAAACGCGACGTCTGACTGGTTTCTTGGTCTCGGCAATCCGTTTCGTATGATTTCATGAGTTGGGTGCAAGGCTCGTGTTGAAGAAGGATCGGGGAGGGGACGTTACAGTGGCCTGCAAACGAGTTGGGTGCTGAAGGGTCGTCATTGGCGGTGGAAGAGGTGTTTTCTTTTTACAATTCTAGGGGCCAAAGTGGCACAGAAACTGTATATCCCGGACGTGGAGTGGGAAGCAGCTCTGTTGTGAGATTATTTACAGGTATGTGGGAGGATTGCCGCCCCTTGTGGTAACGTCCAAGTCTGTTTGTGTAACGTCTGCATTTGAAGTACATGGGCTCCGAGTCTAAAGATGGGTATCCATTTGGAGTGTGTGGATCTTTGGCGTGTGGGTTTTGGGAGGGTGTGGGCTATGGCAGGATACCTGGTGCAGTGATCCTTGCTGAAATTGTGTTGATTTCCAGTTTTTTTGTTTTTCATGAGATCAACGTTTGGCGAGTTAGGTCTTTTGGGAATTAGGAGATGTGTGTCTGGCGCCATTTGAAGCGTGGACGTTACGTCTCTGCTCGTGAGACGGACGCATAATCATAGCTTTGCTGTTGGGAAATATTTGTGAAGATGAAGGCTCATCCATGGATCGCTTCAATCTGAAAATTCTGGAGCAATGTGTACTTGCAATGAACCTATTTATTTTCTTAATTTTCTTTCTTTATTTATTTTTATTTCCACCTTTCTTGGTCCAAAGACTTTGCAATTTCCTCTCTTGAGTGCGTTGTGTCCTTACAATGTGTGGTATGTGAGATTTCTTTACGGTACCTAAATATATAGAATACGTGATTTAGGTCCCCAGGTAGTAGCATTGTCGATCGACGTGAATTTTCTTTCTGCAGGGTAGAATTTTATAAGCTTGCGAGACTGTCGTCTTTGTGTTATGACCCCAAGCTTTTACTACCGCACTTTGAGACTTTATCTTTGGTCTTTTTGCGAAGACTGTCTGTGCTCCCCAAGACTTTCGCTAGCATCAGCATTCAGGTCGTCTTCTCTGTGCGGTGAAAGGGTGAAGCCTGCTTTGATGTCTGGCAAGATTTTATTTTACAAAGCTCAAAGAACGCCCTGCTAAGTACACAGGTTACCCAGCAATTGAGCAGTAGTACTACCCCCTCTACAAAAATTTGAGAGTCATTTTGTCCGGCATGATGGGTCTAAGCGTCGGATTCAACATGTCCTTTGATGAACTTGTGAGTGGCGTCGGTGTGCGCTAGATCGGTCATAACCCCTCGCGAAATAATATTCGATTCCGTTTCAAGTTGAGGATCCGTTGTTCATTTGCACAAATTCAACACTTCATCATTCATGAAATTTCGGGGGCATAGTTGCTGCAGCAGCCACGCGTTTTTAGAAACTACATAGAAACCTCAGAAACTACTTTTGAGACTAAAGAGACTGGTTGCATGTGAAACTCGTCATTTCTGCAGCAGTCGAAGAAATCACGGTGTACTTAAGGTGTTCTTTGGTCTCTTGAAAGAGTCCATGTGTTGCTTCATCGTGTTTCGGGGGCAACACAACTAATTTTCTGTCTCGCGAGGTTAGTTTGATGCATTTGTGGTCGACAACGACGCGCATACATTTACTGATAGTGGTGCTTTTTTGGAGTTTCTTGACAGATCTCCGAATTTCCAGAAAATTAGACACGCTCAAATGTCGCGCCTCGAAGTCATTCTGCTGGTGTGCGGAGTGTTTCTGCTCCAGTGGCAAGCATCAACGGCATGGGATCTGGAGCCACCGGCTGGATTCAGGTGGGCAGTCTTTTTGAGCACCTCTATTAGTGAAGTTTAGAGGCTTCGAGTTTTCGTTAAGCTTGGTTCTCAAGCTGGGTCATTTTAGTCACTCATTTACATGCTGTAACGAGCCGCTCAGTAGCCTGTTGATGCTAGGAATGTCCATTTGAAAGGAGTGTTTTTTTAAATTCTTGCCAAGGATGTTCGTCTTTTAGCCAAGGGTGCAACTGGGTGAGCCTCATTGAGCACCATAACATTCCCGAATTTTGGTTCTCATTCTAGTCATGTTTCTTCGATGCAGCAAGTCACTTACTGTGACAATCAGCCAAGGCAAGCAGATGTATACTTGCGACTCGGGTGTTTGGGTAAGGTCAGGATCATCGGCAAACCTGGTAAATAGCAATCCTCAAAACGGCGCACCTGCAAAGGCCGGTAAATTCAGGTCTAAACAGGACCCAACCTCCAAACGCTCCATCATGAAGTGGACCCTCGTCAATTCTCCAGGCGACGCGACGGAAGCAGGAGACAACACAAGCAGCATTACAGGTGTGCCTGCTGCAACATTGCTTCTGTGTGTACATTTCCTTAGTTAGCTGTGTATAGCGTACACACAACCGCAATAACCATTTCAGGAAGCTCGACGTAGAGAAACCCAGGTATGACTCACATTTGGCCCTTGAATTGCAGGGGTGGAAAAATACACGGAGAAATCCTATGGTGACTCAATTCCTGCAGTACTATTCGAGGTCACGTCTCGCAAAGGTTCTGGTACGGCCGCCTTGTTCACGTACGTAGTGATGAATCAAACCATGGGGGGACAAGCTCCCGATTCTTCCTTGTGCACTCAAGACGACATTTCTGTTGATGTGCCCTTTTATGGGTACTTCGAATTCTACAGCCAAGACTTTCAGCCTCCATCTTACGTCCCTGCCGAACTGAAGCCGCCTGCTCGGGTGGTGCAAGGGTTCTTCGTGAAAGGAAAGATAGTTTACAGATTCGACGGCGCGAAATGGCACTCATATGGGATCATTGCCACTATTTCCAATGTCGCCGGGGGAGACGTGATTGGGAAGTTCGGGACTATCAGGAAACCTGACCAATACGGCGGTAATTTGCGCTGGGTCTTCAACGATCCCAACGGCTTCACACTTACTGGCACGGTTTCTGCAAGTGCAATGGTGTCGGAAAACGGTGCTCCTTGGCAACTGTATGAAATCACCTCCAGTTCAGGCACAATGTAAATCTCTGACCTGGATCTTAGATCGAAGCGTGGACTTCGTAAGAAGTTGTCAAGTGCGAAGGAATCTCGTTGCGTGTTTCCATTTCATTAATACTTTTATCAGTGGTGCGACCGGAATGCATTTCAGTTTTGTGACACCCTAAGCTTTGTTTACCTGTTTAATGCAACAGGCCCCCAGTTGGACCTTTCAAGTATGTCCAATTGACTTCAACAAGAGGAGGACTCGAACCTCAAATCGATGGCGGAGCAACAGAGGGTCTGCTTTGGAGGACCAACTTTACAGGGCTTTTCTGGTTGTACACACCTAACTAGTGCATCATAAAAGAGATTGGATTTTACTGAATAAATTGCTACTGAACAGAGGTCAGCTGGATACATAAGTGTATAATGCGGAGCCATGCCAGTCCTCAGCGCAAAATTATTTTCTTCTTATATTTGCTGCATTCTCTGTACTAGCAAGGGTGTGTGGGACTTGTTATACCACAATTTCCAAGAGTGTAAATGAAGACGCAAGCTGCAATAATACTTTTACCTCAGTTGATTAATATTCAGAATTTTCAGAATAAATAATTTCTTCCTAGAGCTGAGTAACGAGGAGACTGTATCCCAGCTCCACTTAACTGGGAGCTGTACTGTCAGCTTTATTCGATTCGCCCCTTGCACTCTGCTCATTCTGTAGCCTCCTTATAGCCTACGTATGTGCTGGTTTCTGCATGCTGAAACCTTTCGTGGAATTGTTTCTGAGTGTGTCTCTCCTTCATACGTATGAACGTCAAACGCCTTCGCGGTTAACTCGACACGCCCAGCACTAATGCGTGATATCCTCATTTTGGTAACGAAGAAAGTTTAATGTTATTGTGATAGACAGATGCCTAACATAGCGCTTATACAATCGAAGACGTCTGTGAGGAACTGAAAACACCATTATCAATTGCAGCCTACATTGTTCAGTCCACCTCAGACCCTTACCATGCACCAAACCCTAAATAGGGCTCCCAAAATTTGGTCACTTCCTCCAATAATCAAAAACAATGACCAGCATTTACGAAACTGAATCACCTTACAACTGAGAAACCCCTCCCCAAGTTCAGAACTCACGCCGCTCACAGGTCATAACCCCACAAACCCTATATATACATAAATAAAATTATTGGTTACGTTATTTGCATTGTGATTCATCGTTGTATTGTGTATTACTACCATATCAATAACTTGATTTAAAATACTACTTCTAAACTAACACAAGGGCTTACAATGTTCGTATATGAAGGAAAAAAATTTCAAATAAGTCATTCAAAAAGACATTAATTACATTTTATTAGAAGAATTTCAGAAACAAAAACAAAATTTAAGTACACATGAGAATTGTATCATTGACTACTACAGAATCATGAAGATTTGCAAATAAAGTTAAAAGTATAAATCTTTTTCTTTCTCTTTTTCTTGTTTCTTTTCCCTAATAAGTACCTATTTGTAGTATGATGTATTACATAAAAAAACACAGCATTTAAAAAATCAGTTTTTTGTGGTTATGTTGATAATATACTAAAACAAGATCAAAAACAACTTAAGAAAATGTGTATTTATTGAATTGCATGATATTCAAACAACACACCAAATCAAGCAGTTATAATTTTTTGATTTATTATTCTTACAATACTATGAAAGAATAATTTTAATTTCTTTTCAATTTAATGGTCCATCTATTCTTTACATTAACTTGCAATTGTTATTAAATTCACTTTAAGAGAAATCAGATACAATGTCATATGTTTACATAATATATATTGAAATCATATCCATTAAAACTATGCATGTTATATTTATACACTTAATTTAAGCACCAATGTTAAATCTATTTACTAACCTTCAGTTGAATTGTTTGCACAATAGAGGTGTAAGCCTTACAAACAACATAGTGTGTATGTGTGTGTAAATATGAATATGTATATGTATATATATATACATAAATTTTTTTTATATCAAACATAAGAATAAAAGTATTAAAAAAATCTATAATTGTTGTAAAAATGGCATTCATCTAATGTTACAAATGTAAATGCACTAGAACAAGGAAAAGGTGGTACTTTGTTGGACTTCAATTGTGTGCTAGACAAGTACTATCTTACAATATAAAACTTATGATATTATTCAATACTTATTGTTTAGAAGTGAGACTTAGTTTTTTACTAAAATAAGACCTAATATATTACCTCTAGGAAGAGATTTTGTGAAGATAAATGCCACCATTTGCTCCATGGAATAATATTCCAACATATATATATATATATATATATATATATATATATATTGTATGTATTGTCTCATGAAATGATGTTTCATGTTCCAATGTTTCTACAACCATGGTGTATTTGATTCTTGACAATAACAAAATTGTTCTAGTTATCTTCATAAATAAAGATCTTTTCTAGCTTCAAAATATCATAATTTCTAAATACTTTACAAAGCCATAAAGTCTTCCTTACTATAAGACCTAAAGCTATATATTCTATTTCTATTGACAAAATAAAAACCAAAGATTGTTTCTTGTTTAACCAAGTGATAATTGTGTTATTAAATATGAATGCATAACCATCCATTAAACAATATACCTTCATACAACTTGCTCCATCTAAATCTTTATGGCCTATAAGTTGCAAACTTGGTCATTTGCCTCCATATTGCAATACCAAAGCTTTTGTTCGTTATAAGTAATAAAATATTTGTTTGATTCTTTGCAAATACAAAATACAAAGATATGTCATGTATTAAATAAAGTGTTGACAAGAAAATATAGTGTCATATCTTATATCATTTGCAAGATAGAATAACAAATCTAAAGCTTTCTTATAAAGCTTTATATCTTTTGCATTCAAAAGTTTGTCATTCTCATACTTAGTGAGATGACCTTGTACCATTAATCTTGCAGCTTGTTTTGCATCTTGTATCTCAAATTCTTCCAACTTATAAAAGATATACTTAGTTTGGTTCAAATTTATAGTACCATTCTTCTTCTAATATAAAAAATTAATCCAAAAGAAATGATTAGGTTCACTAAGGTTTTTCATCTTATAGCACTTTTGTAATTTATTCTTGTAATTTACAAGGATCTCAAAGTTTTTTCTATTGATTATTGAATCATCAACATAAATAATTAGTATAAGAATTAATCTTTTAATATACATTGAATATAAATAAGGATTCAATTTTGATGGCTATCAACTAAGATTCAACAAAGATACATCTAAATTCTTCTTCTACTAACATCAAGATTGCTTCAAGCCATATAAGAACTTTAATATTTGCAATACCTTGTCTTTGTATTCAAGTAGAACTTCTAATTATTTTAGAATCTTCATAAAGATATCTTCCTCATTAACTTTACTATTCAAATAAGCTAAATGATGTCAAGTTGTAACATATTTTAATTAAGTATAGCAACAATTGTAACAAATATGCTAATTGTTACAAAAAAAGGTAATTAGTTAAAAAAAAATTTAATAATTAAGATCCTTAATTTGAATAAAATTCTTTGCAATCAATTGTACTTTGAAATGTTTAATAGAACTATTACTAAAAAGATTCTTTTTTAAGTCTTATTTTGAATTTTCAACCTTCTTGTCATTTGATAAAGATGAAAACTCTCACATATCATGATCTTTTAATGAATTAAATTCTTTCTTTATGATATAACTCTACTTCTTCTTAAGAAGCAAAGTCATGGCTTGTTTGATAGTTTCTAGTATGGCATATTTGTTAACATGAACAACATCCATTATTTCAATTGATAAATCATAATCTCCTTGAATAAAATTATTATCATTTTTTTAAAGCATATGACATGTCTTTTTGTTAGTTATGATTTTTATTAAATCAATCATATATATATATATATATATATATATATATAATATCTTAGTCGTAGAGCTTGAGTAGTTGCTTCTACTTCTACTTAATGAAAATCTCCTACTTATATTTATATAAAGCTTGCCTCTCTACCAATCATTTCTCCACCAAATCTATTATATACATGTGATTTCAAGCCTTGAAATTTGGATATTGTTAATTCACATGGATATTAAAGACCAAATAAACTAAGCTTGTTTTTATAATCTCCATCTTTTCTACTTCAATTTTAAAGAATTAGTAGTTCTTTGTCACGGACATACATATGTAAATCAATAATTACTTATATGATTTAGATAATAGTAGGTAAAAATAGGACAATTCTATAATATCTTCTATAGTATCTTTCTAGAAGCTTCATAGATGCTGCTTTGACTTTACAGGTGTCTTTGATTGACTTTTTAGGTTAAAAACATGGTCAACAAGTTGACCAAGTGCTATACATATTGGTAGCTTGAAAAATAAGGTAACTATGTGATCCATACATAGAAAACTTGCCTTGTAAGCTAATGTATGTGTCCTATAAAGTCAATACATATTAAAAGTCCTATAGAACATCGCCACATAACTCTTAGTTAGATAGTATATATAGAGGCAAGAGTGAAGCCTTCTTCACTCTTGTGAATTCCTTTCTTGCTTCTAGTCTAGATATAAGAGTCTCTAGTTTCCTTGTTATTTGGCAATAGCCATTCTAATTTCTTTTTAATATACATACTACTTTATTTTTATTTTGTCACTTTTTTTTTAACACAAATTTTTCAAGTTTATGCATCTTCTTCTAGTTCATGTCCTTGACAGATTGATAAGAATATACTTAGAATATTAGGGCTTTGTCTTCTCTTGATTAAGAATAGATTATCTATTTTTATTGATAAGACATAAGCGTATTAGAAGTTGTGGATTACCCTCTTCTAAACTAATATTATTTTTAGTATCTTCTTTGTTCTCAAGTCCTTTCTTCTACCTGTCTTAAGTAATATTAGACATTTATTTTCAAAGTATTATCATGGCAGAGCTTCTTGTAATGAAAAGTGCAATAACACAAATGCAAGATTAATTGAAGAAGTTAATGCTTGCGATGCATCAACTCAGTTTACTACCACAAGGAGTAACAAGAATAGGAGGAACTGAGACATAGATATGATTGGAGTTGCTTCAATATTTGTATCCAATCATGTCCTTTCTTCCATGGTAGAACATCCTTCTAGTATTAGAAAACCAAGAGTTGTCTTGTTTGAAAAGTTTGATGGCACATGATTCAAGTTTTAATGATTTATCAATTAAGTACAACTTATGATTTAACTTCAATTTCAAAGCTATCCAACTCCAAGATCACAAGTTAGATTCATTGATATATTTCTTTTAGATTCAGCATTATTATGGTTTTCATCTTTTCTTGAATAACGAGATCCAATATTCGATAATTTAGAGGTTTTTTTTAACAAAATTTAGATCCATGTATGGAGAATATGATGCAACTCGTGTTGCAACCAACAAGATTCGTATTTTACAACAAGGTAATCAATTTATAACATTATATGCTTCACAATTTTGACAACTTACAAATGATATCAAGTAGGATGATGCTGCACTGATTAGGTAATTTTTCTATGGATTACAATATGAAGTAAAAAAATTAATACTCAACTTACATGATCCTCAAATATTGAATCA